GACAGTTGGCCGCCTCAGTGCACGTCCTCTGGCTTTGCAGGGAGACGAACAAACGTTTCCCCAAGCTGGCTGCAGAGGATCTCTTCGAGCTAGAGCATGGAGTGAACTTAGAGTTCTGGTCACAAGGACTTCTACAACTTCCAGACCTCCAGGTGTCGACTGGAGGTGCGGCGGTTCAGGCCTGGGGCTCCTGGACAACTCATGATGAACTTCAGCTCAAGCGACAAGAGGTGGTGACGATAGGCATCTCCACGACTTCCAAAGATGTTCGTGTGCGACACTTCGTTGTGGCCATTGTGCACCATGTCCAACTCGGAGGACAGCTTTACCGCCAAGGAGCTGTCATTACTGTGCTGCCCGGCCGCCAGAGCTGGGAACGTGCATGGTTCTACGGAATCAGAATGGTGGCTCATTATGTGGACTTGCAAATGCCTCTGGTGGTGCATGTGAGTTCAACTTGTGCACATGAAGCCTGGACGCAATACAAACATAAAGATGTCTTTTACGACATGCAGAACCTCATCTCGCTGGACCAGAGAGCCCGCATCAAAGTGCTGGCCATCACGTCGGACCAACTCAAAGACACGCCCAAGACAGAATGGTCCTTGAGAAACAGAATGGCGGACGCCAAAAAGGCAGCTCAGGAAGTTGCCCTATCCATGCAACCCATCGAGCAAGAGAAGATTTTTCAAGAGCAGGACAAAAAGTACAGGCGCATTGCGCCTTTGGTGGTGCAACGCGTTCAGTTTTTGCTTGAAGAGAAGACTCATTTTTTGAACACGGCCAGAGAGAGTGGAAAGCAAGTCAGACAGCAAGCCAGAGAACACAAGAAGGCTCTTTTTCAAGGCCTGATCCCGCAGACCAATCCTGTGGGACATCAATGGGAGCACAAAGGACGCAGCGTCCAGTGCAGCCAATGCAAAAAGAGGCTCACCATGCACAACAAGGCAGCAGAGATCCAGAGTGCAGCAGAAGAAGCATGCCCAACTCCGATCACGGTTCCGTTGATTGGAGGAAGACCCAATCTGCCTTGAAAGAGGCCAGCTCCAAGTCAGACTTCCTTGCCAGCATGGTCAGTGGTCAGCTGACCTACATGGGAGAGCACACCTTCCGCCTTGACACCAATTACGTTGTGTGTCAGAGAGGCAATGGCCGGCAGCTCAAGCATTCCTCAAAGGAAAAGCTCGAAGCCCTAGCCAAGACAAAATGTTGGCACGAAGCTCGGGAGCCAGATGACAAGTGGGCTGGCCACCACACTCATCGGCTGTGGAGGACAGGCCGGAAAGTCTTTTGTCGACGGTGCAAGGCACATGCACTGTGCAAAGGAGACGCCTTCGAGGCCAGCAGAGCCCTGAAAGGCAGATGCGAGAAAGCATCGACTCAGCAACAGCTGCCGAGCTGTTTTCGGGCCAAAACGGCCGAAGCTTGAAACAGAAAAGGAGCGAAGAAAAACACACATATATATATAATATAGCTGACTTAGCTTCTTGATCTGGTTTCTTTTCGTCTTTTCACATACTGGCACCCTCTCTTTCTTTCATACATGGACACGTTGAACTTGGAGGTGGCTAAAGGCTTTGCAATTTTCAGAAAGAACGGAAGGAAGTGCAGTGGATTGCAGTATTGCACGATTGTCTCACGGAGTGTGACAGCACTGATTTTGCCAAACGATGTTCAAGTCACACTGATTTCTGGAACATAAACACTGATTTTGTACATGAATGGCTTTTGCTGGTTTGGTTATTACAAAGCAAAGCTGTTCCAAAAGGCAGCCCCAACGATCCGGACAAGAGGCTCCAGTTCCATGGACTTGCAACTTGCGTTGAGCATGACTCGGGTATAGTGTTTTGTGTTCCCATTTGGTGTGTTTTGTTCCCGTGGTGTTTCCTTTCGCGGAATGGTGTTTTCTGTTCCCGTGAGTGTTTTGTGTTCCCGCAGGTGTCTTCTGTTCTGGCCAGTGGGGTGTTTTTGTTGCCACCGCGATGTTTTTGGTTCCCGACAATTCCGTCAAGGTGTTTTCTGTTGCCGGCAATTCTGTGAAAGTGTTTTTGGTTCCGGCCATCCTGTGTGCTGGTTGGTTGCTGGCGGTTCGTTGATATGGCCAGCAAGGATTTCGAATGAGTGTAGAAAAGTTGCTGCAGCCGCAACCGCTTCAAGGACATCGCAATGGAGGAGATATGTTGGTATGACTTCGCCCGGCCAAACAGACTCCACGCAAAGACCAGACTCTGAGAAGGATAACATTAGCGATATTGCGGGCACGCCGTGTGTTGACAAGTTTGGTGGGCGACTTAAAATCGCACATGCCCAAAGAGCTCGGTGAGAAAGACATTGCATCTCCAACTGCCAGCCACAGACTCTGGACATTCGTCGTGTATTTCTTTCAGTTCAGAAACAGCTGTGCACAAATCCTGCCAAGCGGATATCGTATACATAACGTAAAAGTCGTAGTCGTAGTAGTGGTGGTAGTGGGAGTAGGTAGTAGCAGCAGTAGTGGTAGTAGCAGCAGCAGTAGTCGTAGTAGAAGCAGCAGCAGCAGCAGCAGCAGCAGCAGGAGTAGGAGTAGGAGCAGGAGCAGGAGCAGGAGTAGTACTATAGTAGTCGTGGTGGCGGTGGTGGTGAGGTGGTCGTAGTGGTAGCTACTGGTCCTAATAGTAGTGGTCGTCGTTGTCATTGTTGCCGAACGAACACACTTAGAGAGTTGCTCGCAAGAGCTATTGTCAGTATGAAGTTCCCCTTGACTTGAAGAACCGAAGGAAATGCAAACCGCAAGGTGGCAAAGTCGGTCAACTTGTAGGTGTTGAACACTGTTTGGTGATGCATTAGCCGCTTACTGCAAAACACAGAAGGGGACAGCGTATTCAACAGTTCCACAAAAATTTGTTAAAATTGCAGGTACGTCGAAAGAGCGTCCTCTTTCGATATCCTAGTCTGAACCTGGAGCTTCGTTGGCTCACGCCAGGAACAGACCCGTGAGCCCCCTGCCTCTTTTTTTCTTTGCGTGAAGAAACTGCAAGTTAGTAGCGATACCAGAAGCCCTTAGTAGCAGAACCAGGGACCCTAGTAGCATCCTGTACGACTCAAAACCTTAGGCACAGGTGTGGACACACAGACGAAGCCGTACGCGGCGCGCTGACCCTTGCTTGAGACGCTAGTAGCGTCCTTAGAACCTGGTAGTACCGTCCTAGCGCCTAGTAGCAAGGCCAGAAGCCCCTAGTAGCGTCATTGGTGTCCGCTGGTCGCAAAACTTTGTACACAAAGCGCCCATATTGGCGCTTTTTTGTTGAAAACTACTAGCAACCTAAAAAGCCTTAGAAGGACAGAAAAAGCAAACAAGACAAAAGCAGACTAAGAGGGCAAGAAGGAAAGATAGGTGTAGTTACGAGGCCCACTTAGTTACATGAAAGTAGAACGCAAGCGGAACCTTTGGTCTTAACCGCCCGGGTAGCTAGCAATAGAGTAGGAGAAACGGAAGGAAAGGCACCAACACACAAGTGTGTTGAGTGCGATTTATTCCGTTGCCCAAATAGCGGGTGGGATAGCAACCGAGGCCCAGGGGTAGGGAGGGTGGCCTGTAGGCCTTGCCATCATTGGCTTTGCCATCACCTAAAGAAAGGCCTCAAGAAACGAAAAGCAACAAAGGAGAGAACCGAAGAGCATGAAAAACATGCAACAAAAGCACTGTGCGTACACCCGCCTGTGAATACTTAGACGCATGTTTCCATGGGAAATCAGGGTTTTTTGATCACAGTAGGCCCTGCGGCATGGAATCAGTGGTATCGTGCGTCACAGCCAATCAGAAAAATTCATCAAGAGAACTTCCGGAGCGCAAGACGTAAGATCAGGAGGGATCCCCCACATAAAGTGGGTCTGTGCATATGCCGCGCCCCGTAGTGGGGATCACACCACAGCCCGCAGTGGGACCCTGTGGCGAAACACGCTTAGAGAGTTGCTCGCAAGAGCTATTGTCAGTATGAAGTTCCCCTTGACTTGAAGAACCGAAGGAAATGCAAACCGCAAGGTGGCAAAGTCGGTCAACTTGTAGGTGTTGAACACTGTTTGGTGATGCATTAGCCGCTTACTGCAAAACACAGAAGGGGACAGCGTATTCAACAGTTCCACAAAAATTAATTAAAATTGCAGGTATGTCGAAAGAGCGTCCTCTTTCGATATCCTAGTCTGAACCTGGAGCTTCGTTGGCTCACGCCAGGAACAGGCCTGTGAGCCCCCTGCCTCTTTTTTTCTTTGCGTGAAGAAACTGCAAGTTAGTAGCGATACCAGAAGCCCTTAGTAGCAGAACCAGGGACCCTAGTAGCATCCTGTACGACTCAAAACCTTAGGCACAGGTGTGGACACACACACACAAGCTCACCCGAATCATGCGGGAGCAGAAAGCACCATTCTACCCTGTTTTTTGTCGCAATCAAGGTGGGAACAGAAAACACCCTTACGGGAACGGAAAACACTGCTGGACACAGAAAACTCTTTTCCGGGACTGCGGACTGCGGTGACATTTTGAACCCGCTGGCGGGAACATAAAACACCTGCGGGAACACAAAACACTCACGGGAACAGAAAACATCAAAATGGGAACAGGCAACAGAAAACCCGCAGCCCCGATGAAAGTCTCTTTGACACTTTACGGCGTGGAGGCATATCTGTGGGACCTGCGCTGTACCCGTGGAAGGACTTTCAGCAGAATTCCGGTGTGTATGTGTTTTTCCCAACAATCTAGGAACCAAATGAGTAGTGCGAACATGAACTTTCCTGCGTTCAGTAAGTAGTAGCAGCCGGCCCTTACTTAGTTAAGTAGGTGCCTACTTCATTAAGTAAGGGGGAGGGCAGCAAGAGTTTCCCTCAAAATCTGAGAGCCAAATCACTCGTGCGTGAGCCAAGTGAGCTATGTAGGCGCCCCCTCTTTTTTCCACTTGACCAAAAACTCCACAACCCCCAGATGCCGCTTTCACTACCAGTCACTTTCCGGCCATTTCGCACGTGAGGTGGGCGGAGCGCAGCGGGGTCTTTCGCAACAAGAACTACAGTTGGAAACACTGCAACGCTTGGGAGCTTGGCTTCGGAGCGAGCACAGCCCTCCTTCCCACTCAACAGAGGGGTGCATTGAGCTGGGGCATGTTGTTCAACCTCGTTGACCGGTCGGGTCATGTTGCGACAAACTGCATTTGGTCAAACTGGGCCATCAAACAATTGACCGAAGGCGGAATTGATCGAATTAATAAACTCCTGCAAGTTCTGCAATGACCGATCCAGCAGCGAGCGTTGAGCTGCTTTGATTACTTTCTTGAGTTCAAGTGACAGTCAAGTGTTTCCCGTGGTCCCTACAGTTTATGGTTGTGACATGTTGTGACTGGGGCCTATGGGACTTGGAGAACTGCAGATTTCGGTGACGTTTCTGTTACTGCCACGGTTTCAAGCAGTCTGTGAGTTCTACCTGGCTGCTTTGGAAACGACCCTTTTCGATATATATATATATATATGTATTTGAGTTCAGTTCAGTTCTGTGTCTTCTGTCAGTTTGCAGAACTGAACCTGAAATGGCCCTGCACAATTACCAGGATAAGCCGGACCTGCAAACGGGCTTACCTTTGCTGGACGACTTCAGTGCGGCTCGGCAATCGTTGATGGCCCACCTAATCCAGAATTCGACACTTCCTTCGACAGCACAGCCTCTCCTTCCTAGTGACTACAATGAGCTATGAAACTGGGGCACTAGACTTTATCAGTTTTCCTAAAAAACTGGGGACCAAATGAATAGTGCAAGCGCTTCATCCTGCATCCTAGCTAGGAGCTTCCTATTGCTAGGAGTTTGTTTACTCCCTTAGTTATCAATTAAGTAGGCGTCTACTTAATCAAGTAGTAGAAGAGAACACAAGAAAAAAACAAACACGAAAGAACACGAGATATGAAACTCATAAGACCGAGGCGCGGAAGATCCTGGGCGTGGTTGCTCCCACTCAGCCACGAAACTATGTGGCCCGCACCTCAGGTGGTGGAAGTGTTTCGGCTGCCGGTCAAAGAGGGAAAGGTCCTACCTATCTCTTATTTCATTGGTCTCTCTGTTTGGGTAGATGAATGCAAGCTCCCTGGATATCTAAGAAACATTTGGTCGAACAACTACTGTGGAACACAGAAGATGCACCTTAGAAACTGTGAAGGACCAGAACCCAGAACTGGTGATTTGTGGACAAGCCCAAGCACGCTGCCATAGCAATTATGCCGCTTCATAGGGATGGAAGGCATCAACAAGTCACGTTAGTGGGGTGTGGGCCATCACCGATGACTCGTTTATTCCAGAGCAATATAAGTTCCACAAACGCCCCAAAACTGGACTTTGCACATTTTTGGCAATTCTGTCTGCAGTCAGCTGAAGGTTATGGAGATCAAATCCAACTTGCTTAGGGATGAGAGGCGCAGAAGCGAGTTTCTTCTCGGATGTCTAGCCGCCCGGGCAGTTGCATATGTGCCTCGTGTTCTGCTCCACCATGTGCGTGAGGCAGCTCTTCATCCGGAGGTTCAAGCGCCCAGGCTTCAAAGTCGTTGCGCAGGCCAGATTTCTACGATGCAGGTAATATGAAGGTTTTTGCAGCGACGCTAACATTACTGACTTTCTACCTAATCACCATTTGCCAGGTGATGATGGGTGAACCTCCTGCCGAGTTTAAGGCAGAGGTGCACAAGATTCTGTTGCCTGGGCGACCCGGACAGGCTTTGGAGAGGACGATTGTGTCGTGCCGGTTTTTGCTTTACTTGGCCTACTGGATGAAGGGCAACTCACGCTTCTCCAAGGAAGCTCCCCCCCGCCGCCCAGGCCGCATGGGGGAGCTTTCTCGAGGAAGCGCTCGCACTATTCAATTGGTTCCTAGATTTTTAGGGAAAACCAGGAAGACTCTTACCACTGTTACAGCTTTTTAGCTGCCAGCAGTGCAGCTACAGACGTTCTAAGACCTTTGTTTGGCATGCTTGGCAGGATGTCCCAAGGACAGTGTTGGGGAATTGCGCGTTCAGGGTTTCACTAAGCATGCCTGTTTCAGCATTTTTCAGCACGAGCCAGACGTGTCTCTTTGGGTTTGCATGAGTACTTGTTTGTGTATTTAGATACAGGATGTTTTGGTGGGCCTTTGATTTTGAACATCTCACTTTCAGATTCTGGCCGGTCGGCTCAGGGAGGAAAAGCAGAAGAAGGCGGATGAGGAGTGGCAGCAGAGAAAGGCAGGACCTGCTTGGCCGTATCAGTGCCAATGCCATCGCCCCGGGTCCCTTCAGAATGAACTATACTTACATATACTCAACACTTCCAATTCCTGCCTCCCCGCAGCAGTTTTCCGACTAGAAACGAACATGTATTTTTTGACTAGATCGGACTGAACACATGCTATGACCATATGCGATTATATCTCATTCTGATCGGTTACATTCGTGTCTTGAATTGGTGTCTTGAAGGCATAGCCGTGTTTTGAGACTGTGAACACAATCCGAGGTGGTTGTTCGGTGCCGTAGCTCCAGTTTTGTGTGTGTCATTGGCTTCAGATTTTGCCAATCCATGGTCCCGAGATTGATCGTTTCAAGTGAAGGCTGAATTTGACACTGATGATGCAAGTGATACCAAAGACGTTTCAGTGCATCACTTACATTTTTTTTTTTAAAAAACTGTTTTCAAATAACACTTCAACACTCCGGGTTCCAAGCAAATTGCATCTCGCGGAATCTTCGGTGCAGGTGGGTTTGTAGAGTCCAAATTACCACTGAAAGGGCAATGGCCCCGCTGTGCCACATGTTCATTCATTTTGGTTATTTAACTCGCACAGAGTCAAGACCTCAATCGATGGGATACAGCTATTTGCCGGAGAGTAGCTTCCTAACTCTTTCAAAGAACCCACTTGTATTTCAACTGTCCAGCGGTGACGTCCCTAGAGGGCCAACTTCTTCTGTACAAACCCCTTTGACTCTGACCCAGTTTGTGGCTCTGTATCAGTTTATTTTTCTGGTGCGAATTCACACACAGGCCTGGCCCGCTCGGGGTCGCCTGGTCTGACTGCTGCAGGCTCAGCGTGAGGCTGAACGTGTCCTGCGCGCCCGAGAGAAAGAGATGGAGGAGGCATGTTTGGACGTTGGGTTGGGAAGAAGGACTGAAGGAATCGAATACTGGACACCTTGTCACGTGGAATGGCACCATGAACGACATTGGACATCCTTTATTGCTGGGCAAATGAGACAGCACAGGGACAACACCACACCTAGGATGGGTACTTCCAGGGTAAATACTTGCAAGTGTACAGTGCGTTGTATACCTCTTTCAAGTTTCCAAGTGACGGGGTATATATATATATATCTATTTTATAGAATCAACCTCTGAACGGAATGTACAAATGTGATATTGACTGATCAAAGCAAGGATATTGAATCTTATCGAGCATCACCCATAGATCATTAGAACGCTGGCAAGCCTCCCATACTTCTTCCATCAACTCTTGTTCTCCACGTGTCCGAGGTGCGCCGAAAGGCTGAGGAAGAGGCCTTGGCTCGTGCGCAGGCCGAGGCCACTGCACAAGCAGAGGCGTGGGATGCGGCCAAGACAGCCCTAGCCCTGGATGAAACAACGACCATCAGACTTGACAGGGAGCATTTCGGCAAGCATGTGTTTTGTTGCCTTGCGGCTTGGTCATGCCTGAACCCACATTTAGGCTGAGTATCTAAAGGTAGAATTCAAGCAGAGCATCCAGCTTTGCACCTGTTGGAGGCTGTTAAAGCTCAGCTTATGGCGCAGGTGCGATGGAGCTTGCTCGGTTGTCGTGAGGTGTTGTGAGAGAGACATGCATGAAGGTGCGAAATGACACTGGGACAAGGGTGGGGGCAATGTCACACAACTAATTACATCGAGGCCGACTTTCGGAGCAATCGACATCTCAAGAGGAGGCCGACATGATCTTGGAAATTCCCTGCGGAGTTGGGAGTCACTCCGATAGACTTCTGGGATTGACTGAGCTGCTCTGGGGCTCTGTGGACAAACTGGGAGCCTACCCATGTGGGGTGTGCCAGGTGATGATTGAAGAGCCCTCACAAGAATCAGAATCCCAGTGAAAGTAAATGGACCCCGACTAGATAGTCTCAAGATTTCCTATACATTTTCCTTAGTAGGATTCGGATTCATGAACATTCATTCTGCCCAAGCAGGGCATCTACATCTACTACTAGGAGCAAGGGCGCTACTAGGGGCTCCTGGCCTTACTACTAGGAACAGAAGCCACTAGGGGCTCCTGGCATCGCTACTAGGGGCAAGGACGCTACTACTACGCTACTAGTAGTAGCTCCTGGCTCCTGGCCTGACTACCAACGTTCAGGGCGGTGTCACCGAGATTGCGGCCACCGAGCCGGCGGTCCCGTCGGTGGAGATCATCGACGACGGCGATGCACCGAGTGCACAAGCCACGCCAAACGCTCCGGTGCCTCCAGGCCCAGGGACGACGGAGTCGTGACATTTTAAGGTTCTCAGCATTGAAGATGATGCGGAGGATTTGTCGGGGAGATGTGTTCCATCATGTATGATCAAGTTTCTTTTTTAGGTGTGAAAGTCCTTTCTCAATGATCGCATGTTGATGGTGTTTGTCCGCCCAACATCGAAGCTGAAACTGCTTAAACATCTTAAACTTATGCCATCCATGATGATGATCGGTGCGACTATCTACGAAGCTCTTCAACCAATGCTTTGATGTAGAAGAGCTTCGTAGTTGGCGACCTGCGGGGCACGGCTGACTTTGTGGTTGGTTGGAGTGCTTGGGGAGAGAGTTCGAAGATGACCTTTGCCCAAAGAACTGCCTGAAAAGGTTTTCACCAACACTAAAATTGGAGTTAAACATGGATGGGGCTCAGCCTGGTCAGAGGATTCCCATGAATTGCTCCGCCATAAGGGAAGGTGAGCCAGATTTAGTTGAGTTGTCCTTTGAGGCGAAGTGAAGCACGAGAAGCCTGATGTTGTCATGACAGAGGCGGACAACTTGTGGTTGCAGCATGGTTTCCGTGTGATCTATTTGTCAAACTTTGCACGATTATATACGTATCCTTGCCCATGATCGATCTACCTATTTACTTTTTGATTTATCCATTCATCCAGGGCTCAAGCCACGAGAGGTTTAGTTCAAGCTAGCAGGCCCATATAAAGCCTGGCCTGTGACCGCTTGCGCATGAAGTCTGCAAAGAAAACACCAAGAAAGCCCCTGTGCTTAATATACTATATATACACAACAGAGATGATTACCTTGTTGATTCCGACTGATATCCCACGTATAGGTTGGGTGATCAGGTGATAGCATCCTAGGATATTACGAAGCGCTTGTTCAGAGGCCAAGGAGACAAAACCGCCGGAGAAGAAGGTGCAGAAGCGGCAGGGAGTTGTTGAAGTTGTTGGAGTAGTTACCAGATACCAGCTGTCCCTTGTATGTATTTGGTTCAAATCTATGGCATGCAAGTGGCAAAGAGTGCTTGAAGAATCATATGATTGTAGAGGTTTCGAGCATTGAAGCCATCTGATCCCACAATCCAGTGGCTTGGGTTTCTGGTACAGAAGCTTGCAGCAAAAGTTGCCAAGAGCCCCCAGTAGCTTCTTGTTCCTAGTAGTAAGGCCAGGAGCCCCTAGTAGCGTCCTTGCTCCTAGTAGCGATGCCAGGAGCCCCTAGTAGCGTTCTTGCTCCTAGTTGGGGTCTCCAAGAGCTTTCAAGGCCATGCACAGTAGATTGGGCATGGTCTCCAACCGTGGCTCCAGTCGTTGCAGGCAGAGGAACCGCCAGAGGAACCCAGGCTGGTGGGAGGAACGGTAGCAAAGCCAGCTCGTGGGAGCGTGCCGAACATGTGGGAACAGTAGACACATACGGAGGTCCTGCAGCTACTTTTCCCTTGTCTAAACAAGGAACACTGCTTTTGGGCAGCCCCAGCCAGCGATTCTTAGACGAGCTGCCTGCCCAATCACTTACCAACTTGGCCAGTGCATAGAATCCAAGACCAGTTCGTCTGGACAAACATGCTTTTGGCAATAACGTAGTATTCTTTTACCTGGCAACCAGGGGTGACAAATGTTCAAGAGCTAGGGCCTTGAAGAAAGCTTTTGACAAATATATAGCTCTTCGATCCCTCTTTAAAACAAAAGTTCTATCAAGTGTTCCAGCAAGTGGTCTATCGGATGTTTGATTGAGTGCCTCTCAAGGCTGGAAGCGTCGAATCTTTTCTATAATCACATTAATCACAGACATGTTTTAAGACCCTTGATTTCTTGGTCATTCACGAACTATATACCAAAGAGCAGCCTGTGGAACTTTCGGGCGGTCCTTACAGTCGTTGGCGCAGCGAGGGGTCTAACCTGGTGAGGCCTGTGGTGACTCTGAGTGAGGAAGAGAAAGCCATTTGCTTCAAGCAGAAGGCCGACCGTTTGGAGCAGAAGAAAACCGAGATGAAGAAAGGAGGTTCCCTTTAATCCCTTTATATAAAGGAACCCTTATTAAAGGAGGCCTTACCTTCCTCTTTCATCTCTTTCTTTCAATGCTTTCTGTGGACGTTCCAACAACATCGGTGAAGGTCCGGGGTCCAACACACTCAATCCCGCTTGCCAGGGGTTTAAGGAAAGAATAAGAGTCTAAAAGTCGAAAGAAAAGGAAACGCAGGAGGAACTAGCGGGAGAGAGAGAGAGAGAGAAACACGAATGAAAGAAGAAAAGCCAAAAGAAAGGGGTCTATCACGACACTTGGGTCACCAGTGGATCACAAGTTAAGGTACAGTTGATCACCCAACCACCACCAGCAACCCTTGAATGCATTGTGACTTGTCGCATACCAACGACTCAATTCTGCTCAACTGTTTCTTTCAGCTAACCTTTGCCAACAGCAGTGAGTAAGACCTATTCTTCTCCACTTGCTAATTGAAACTGAGAGGGTGCTGTATGCACCGATTGATCAAGCGCCAAAGGCTGAAAGTTGATGCACTTTCGATGTTGACCCTGGCTTGAGGAATAAGACACCATCAGCAGCAACCGAACAATTGTACACCCACTTTGATGACGGATCTTTTCGCAAAGCCCTGCACCTTGTGTTCGTTTGAGCGCAATTCGGTTGTAGGCAGTAGGTCACGCACCGAGGTCAGAGCTGCAACTATTAGGGCGAACTAAGTGAGGCAGAACTTACTTCACTGCACGGCACTTTGTTACATTTGCCGCTTTTGTAATTGCAGTTCAACAACACCTGTCACGATCATCTATGAAACAACTGATGACCATGCTCCTCATTCGGGTGAATCACGAACTGAGCCCCAGGTCCAAGAATCCTCCAACATCCAGAGCCTTTAATATACTTTCCTAAGGTCTGCCTACGAACCACCTTTCCAGTGTGATTGGAAAAACATGTATGCTCAAACATTCAGCTTTTCTGGGCTGTAGTTTTTTGACACCGATAGAATGGCTCAATCTTCTGCTGCAAGCATGAGGCGACCTCGGATCTCACTAGCTGGACCCTGGGTGGCCACTGAGATGCAGGAAGGAGAAGCATGCAATTTATGACTCTGAACACTCAGGAGTATATCTACCTAGTTTCTATGGATAGATTTCGTGTGCTTTGTTTAGATGATATTCACCGGCTTACGCCTGACAGCCGGGCACCGGCCGGTATGAGGGGAAGAGGTTGTTCGTTTTTTCTCCCTCTGCGAAAACGTATTTGGGAACCAAGTTGGCCCAGAGAATCTGGCAACATTACTGCGCGGAACAATTTATTGAAACCCAGTTAGGTCAGTTAGGCCAGAGAATTTTGCAACCTTAGTGTTGGGCCAAAGAATTTTGCCACCTGACTGCTGGCAATTCTTTTTTTGGAACCCAGTTAGGCCAGAGAATCTTGCCACCTTACTGCTCCCAAAAACATTGGGAACCCATTTAGGCCAGGGAGGCTGGCGACCGCACTACTTCAATTGTTTTACCATCCTCTTCCTCTTCCTCTTCCTCTTCCTGTTCTTCCTCTTCCTCTTCTTCCTCTTCCTTCTCTTCCTCTTGCTCTTCCTCTTCCTCTTCCTCTTTAACTCTTTAACTTTATCTTCCTCTTCCTCTTTCTCTTTCTCTTCCTCTTTCTCTTTCTCTTCCTCTTCCTCTTCGTCTTGCTCTTCTTCTTCCTCTTTATCTTTCTCTTCCTCTTTGTCTTTCTCTTTCTCTTCCTGTTTCTTTTTCTCGATCTCTTCCTCTTCCTCTTCATCTTTTTCTTTCTCTTGCTTTTCCTCTTTCTCTTCCTCTTGATCTTATATTCCTTTTTCTTTTCTCTTTCTTTGTACCCCTCTTTCTTCCGCAGCGCGCGGGCACATGCCGCCAAAAAGAGAAGACATGGACCCCGGTGGCGCGCGCGACGATGCGATTTCTGCCTCTTGGGCCTCAATCCAAAGGGAGCGCGGCCTTTATCCAAAGGGGTCCGGAACAGTCAGGGGGGAGTTGAGCCCGGGGCGCTTTTCCCGCGAAACAAGTCTTGACGGCCACCCGAAACTAGAGTTTAAGTATTTGTCAATTTTTTGGCAGATTTGTGTGAATGTGACGGCGGCGTGACATCGTCCACCGCTCACCGGGGTCCCGCAACAGGAGCACGCTCCCCCGCTCTCGTTCATCAGCCTAGACCGGGGTCGGCGGATAATTAATATGTTATATAATAGCTCGTGACGGTCTAGGGCACAGGCTTGTAACTCGTGCTTCCTCACAGAACAATAGCACTGTTTTTATATAATTCCTAGCAGGCTTGGATAGATTCACCTGCAAACGCTTCAAGCATTCTGCTTCAGTGGTGCTGTGCATGCAAAACACTGGATAAGACAAAAACAACTCGCGGAGGGGGGAGCTTTGGTTCCGTCTTGGGCTGCTCAGGCCACTTCACACGCTTCAGCTTGCCTGAGGCTGATGAGGTGTGGTTGATGGGACAGACAAAGACATGGGCTGAAGAAGGGGCCACGTTGAAAAATGCACAGGGGCGTGGCCACCAATTTGGCTATCGGATACTGAAGAGGACTGTGAGCCTGATTCGAACGTTTGTGATTGATGTTTTTTCATCAGGATTTCCGAAGGTTGGTTTTCCATTGCAAGACTAGTAAGACTCATTTCTGAGGCGTCCCGGGTGTCCTCAGGGTCCTTCCATGGAGAGACACACCGACGACGTGCTTCAGGGCTTCGATGAGATTCGCTATGTGTGGAACCCTGAAGCTGTCTGCAAGGACAGACCATGACACACCCAAGCATTGCGGCATTGAGTTAATGGCAGTGGAGAGCTCTTGAAACCACACGAAATACGATGCTGTAGTGATAGATTGAGTGTCAATGCACTGAGAGGATGGGCCGTACTTTTCAGATTTCAAGGATCACCACTAATCACCACTTGCTACTTGATGACAATGCAGGTAATGTTTACCTGACTGCGCCAGTTTGATTACACAGTTGGCTGGAATTATCACCATTGTGTAAGTTGACAAATAAAGCAGAATATCAGTTGGGGGATGGTATGTGACATGCCACTTTGACACATTTTGGCACAGACCTATTCTGATTCTTTAAAGAGTATGTGACAGGTTGTGGTCCCGCTGAAACCTTGCACCAGGAGTATTTGCACAAGTGGATCATCAAGAACAAGGTGACCCCAGAACATCCTAGCTCAGCTGCTGCCCGGGTTCGATGATTGCATAACGCTTACTGTAATTGATTGGCTTTGTCTGAAGTGGTTCCAATCCGATGATAGCGTTCAAGCTTGTTAGTGTTCAGTCAGCAAGCCAGATCTTGTGCAGCATAGAGCTGAGCCAAAATCCGAGCTTTGGACATATAGCAAACGGACGCAACCTTGGTTTAAACAACTTGGAGACTGACAGAAGGAACTAGAAAGACGATCCTGCCCGGCTGCAGGTTCTTGGGATATCTTGCGATTGCACCTTTTTGCTTCTGTCAGTGGGAAATCCACCAAAATTGTTTCAAAGATGTTTGGCTCCTCCTCCAGTCAGTATATAGAGCATTTGGGAGGCGCAGGGAATTTTGATTGTCATCAACTAGGCTTTGCCTGGAGTGGTCCTCCACCCACACTTCCTTTGCCCTCACCAGATCCTCTGCCGGATGGAAGATATCCTTCCATCGGATTGGTCGGAACCCGAGATGGTGTTCAAACCATTGGAGCCGTTGATGAGATGGGAGGATGGGATGCGCCCCAGGAATCTTCGGTGTAACAATGAGCTGGTATTGACTCTTTAGCGATGTGTCTGAGAACGACAACATCCGCCGACCAATCGCTTTTTCAAGCCACCAGTCACCCACTCACCACAGCGGCAATTGGACGGTTTAAAAAAGCAGGGACACCCCAAGGCCTTCTGCAAAGGATTGACCAGGTTTCTTTCATTCCAGGAAACAGATGGAAAAGAGACCCCCGATGGATATGGAGGGTCAAAGCCTCGGTTCTTGCGAGTGGTTGCTAAGGTTCCACTCCAAAGCTGCCGAGTGGCAAAAGGTCTTGGCTGACTGGCACAGCCATCCCTGCTTGTTAGACCGAGTTCCATGAGCATACTGCACTGACGACGACAAAGGAATGAGGCCAATAGAAGATACTGGTAGAGCGCCAACGATCCTGTGCATGGAATCAATAGAGGGTTTGGCTGGGGTGGAGGGCGTTGCAAGGTGGAATGTTATTTATGAGGCTTACGCCTGACAGCCGGGCGCCGGCCTATTTGGGTTTGGGTATGTGCAGGGCTGGTTCCCCGCTCTCTCTCTGTCTCTCTGTCTCTCTGTCTCTCTCCCTCTCTCTCTCTCTCTGTCTCTCTCTCTCTCTCTGTCTCTCTCTCTCTCTGTCTCTGTCTCTCTCTCTCTCTCTTTGAGACTTGGTGGGGCCTATATTGAGCAAAGTTAAGCTATCTGGTGCGCATCTTGGCCCTAGGTTGGGCCAAGTTGCGCCCATGTGGTCTATGTTGGGCACATCTTGGGCCCAAGTTGAGCCTATGTTGGGCCTAGGTTGGCCTATGTTAGGCCTATGTTGGTCTAGGTTGGGCCTATGTTGGCGTATGTTGGCCCCATGTTGGCCTATGTTGGCCCTATGTTGAGCCATCTTGGAGGCTATGTTGGGCATATGTTGGGGATATGTTGGCTATCTTGGGCCTATGTTAGGGATATGTTAGGCAACTTATGTGCCCAACACCCACGAAATGTCGATTAAGCCTGTCCGCGCGGCGCGCATAACCGACACCACCGGCGCCCTGTTAGGCGCAAGTCGTCTCCGCCGAAGGCCATGAAACACTGTAAAAAACAATGTTTTCCACATCATGCGCAATCATCCTAGTAGATAAAATATACATGACATAAAAATCTGTCGACCGGATTCGGGCGGGGGTCGGGCGGGGGTATACGCGAGGTCCAACAAAAGGGTCGGCGGCAGGGGCGGCGAGCGTATATAACCTTCGGTTACCAACCGAAGGCCTCCGGCAAGGGAACGTGCGCGTGGCCGGCGCCCGGATTGTAAGGGCTCCGCCCCCTGCCGCCGACCCCGGGGATAAGGCACGAGATCGCCGACGGCGGCAGAGTTATAGGAATGGAAGTAGCAGCTAGTAGCATACAACAGTGCAGATGCACACGACATCGGTCACGGTGGCAAATTAAGAGGAATGGAGGTAGCAGCTAGTAGCGTACAACAGTGCAGACGCACACGACAGCAATCACGGTGGCAGATTTATAGGAATGGAGTTAGCAGCTATTAGCATACAACAGTGCAGACGCACGCACACAACAGCGCAGACGCACACGACATCGGCCACGGTGGCAAATTTATAGGAATGGAAGTAGCAGCAATGAGCATACAACAGTGCAAACGCACACGACATCGGTCACGGTGGCAAATTTAGAGGAACGGAGGTAGCAGCTATTAGCATACAACAGTGCAGAGGCACGCACAGAACAGTGCAGACGCACACGACATCGGTCACGGTCGCAAATGTATAGGAATGGAGGTGGCAGCAATGAGCATACAACAGTGCAGACGCACACGACATCGGTCACGGTGGCAAATTTAGAGGAATGGAGGTAGCAGCTATTAGCA